CACACACACACACACACACACACACACACACACACACACACACACACACACACACACACACACACACACTCACACCCTCCCGTCCCCAGCACAATTACTAGCGTTTCTCTCGTATATTAGAGAAGAGGCTGGAGGCGTACCTCTGACCAGAAGCAGACTCAACAACACTACCTGTATGGCCCCGCCTCACCTGTCATCACCCCACAGCGGCCCTCCCATCACCCCCACCACCACCACCCCACACACATGATAATGTCCCAACAGACACTCCTCTCTAACCCTCCCTCTCGTACCCTCCCTCTCGTACCCTCCCTCTCGTACCCTCCCTCTCGTACCCTCCCTCTCGTACCCTCCCTCTCATACCCTCCCTTTCATACCCTCTCTCGGGTCCAAAGAATACTGTTGTATCATGAACAAATCCACAAGGGCCGTGACGCGGGTTCGAACCAACGTCCGAGACGATCCCAGACGCTGCCTTAATCGACTGAGCTACGACATGGTAAAAGAATTGCAACCGGAGGTTCTACTGACCTTACTCGGATCCACTGTCACCATCATCTCAGCCAACACTGCCACCACACCACCATAACACCACCACACCACTACCACAACAACACGACTACACCACCACACTACCACACAACACCACCACACTACCACACCACCACCACACTACCACACCACAACACCACCACAACACCACCACATCAACACCACCACCACCACCACACCACACCACCACCACACCACCACCACAACACCACCACCACACCACAACACCACCACCACACCACAATACCACCACCACACCACCACAAAACACCACCACACCACCACATCACACCACCACACCACACCACACCACACCACCACCACCACCACACCACCACAACACCACCACACCACCACCACACAGGTTGCTGTACTGCTATCAATTGACAGGACCACTTGAGATGACGGCACCCAGACCTGGGTATTAAGGGGCTGGATTACTCGACCACTGAGGTCTCCTCCAACCCCGCTGACCCTCGCCCCTCCCCCTCATGGCTTCCCCACATGCCCACCCGCATGCTCACTCGTCCCCCCCATCACATACCCCCACCCACATGCCCACCCACTTCCACACATACCCACCCACATGCCCACCCACTTCCACACATGCCCACCCACACATGCTCACTCACTACTATTCATGCCCACTCACTCCTCCACCCTCTTCCCCACCCGCGTTATGGTGATGTTGGGGACAGGGATGGTTATGCTGAAGTTAAGGCAGGAGGAATGCTTGTGGTGATAGTGGTTATGGTGGTGGGGAGGATAGTGGTTATGGTGGTGGGGGAAGTAGTGGTTATGGTGGTGGGGGAAGTAGTGGTTATGGTGGTGGGGGAAGTAGTGGTTATGGTGGTGGGGGAAGTAGTGGTTATGGTGGTGGGGGAAGTAGTGGTTATGGTGGTGGGGGAAGTAGTGGTTATGGTGGTGGGGGAAGTAGTGGTTATGGTGGTGGGGGAAGTAGTGGTTATGGTGGTGGGGGAAGTAGTGGTTATGGTGGTGGGGGAAGTAGTGGTTATGGTGGTGGGGGAAGTAGTGGTTATGGTGGTGGGGGAAGTAGTGGTTATGGTGGTGGGGGAAGTAGTGGTTATGGTGGTGGGGGAAGTAGTGGTTATGGTGGTGGGGGAAGTAGTGGTTATGGTGGTGGGGAGGAATAGTAGCACCTCCAAAGGATACCTGATCAACCAGGCTTTGACTCATACGTCAGGCTGCGAGCAGCCACGTCCAACAGCCTGGTTGATCAGTCCAGCAACCACGAGGCCTGGTCGACGACCGGGCCGTGGGGTTTCTATGGGGAGGAAGATGGGGGGTGTTGTCCTCTACAGTGGGGTTGCTGAGCTGCTGGTTCGGAGTTCCCCACTCCCCTCCTGTGTGTATTCACCTAGTTGTGCTTGCGGGTGTTGAGCTCAGCTCTTTCGGCCCGCCTCTCAGCTGTCAATCAATCAACTGTTACTAACTAGTACCCCCACACACACACACCCCAGGAAGCAGCCCGTAACAGCTGTCGAACTCCCAGGTACCTATTTACTGCTAGGTAACAGGAGCATTAGGGTGAAAGAAACTCTGCCCATTGTTTTTCGCCGGCGCCGGGAATCGAGAAACAATGGACAGTTTCTTTCACCCTAATGCCCCTGTTACCTAGCAGTAAATAGGTACCTGGGAGTTAGACAGCTGTTACGAGCTGCTTCCTGGGGTGTGTGGGTGTGAACAAATAGTAGTTAGTAACAGTTGATTGATTGACAGTTGTCAATCAAACAGTTAGTAACAATTGTGTACTCACCTAATTGTGTTTGCGCGAGTTGAGCTCTGGCTCTTTGGTCCAGCCTCTCAACTCTCAATCAACTGATGTGTGTGTCTGTGTGTCTGAGTGTTCACACTAAATAATTTGGTATTAAAACAAGGTCTACTTTCGTTAGTTTTATTACAAAATGGTCACTGGAGTTATAACAAATAATCGATATCACAGATTCACATACAATGAGAAAAACAGTGAGAACACACAGTTATTCCTGGGAGTTTCTTGGACCACTCCATGGGTGGCCTTCTGCGGCATGGTCCAGCTGTTCCTCTACGTCATCTACCACAACACAGCACAGCCAAGGCCCTCAACACGTGACGCAACACTCCCTCAACACGTGACGCAACACTCCCTCAACACGTGACGCAACACTCCCTCAACACGTGACGTAACACTCCCTCAACACTATCACTGACAAGGGTTAAGGCCAGGATTGATCAAACATTTACACAAACCAGTACATCTTTCCTCAATCACAGCAGGCTTTGTTTACGTTTATTAAACAGTTTATGAGTGTCAGACGGCGTTACGAGGTCGTTTATAATAACAACTTTGGATCGTGAAGTTCCGAAGCTCGTAAAGTGTTTAATATATGTAAACAAAGCCTGCTATGATGGGGGTTACAGGTTCAGATCTGGTAGGTGGTGTGAGGGTCCGGGGCTGCTACTGCTGCTGTCGTAGCTGGCGTCCTTGTGGTAGGCATTAATTAAGCACTGAACATTACATTTATAAAATTATATACAAGGTTGTTCATAGCTATGTCAAAAGTGTTAAAAGGGTGTTTGAGGAAGCAACCCGAGCCCCATTGTTCAACTACAAGTGACGTCACTGAGCCCCTTTGTTCAGCTGCTAGTGACGTCACTAAGCCCCTTTGTCCAGCTGCTAGTGACGTCACTAAGCCCCTTTGTCCAGCTGCTAGTGACGTCACTGAGCCCCATTGTCCAGTTACAAGTGACGTCACTAAGCCCCTTTGTCCAGCTACTAGTGACGTCACTGAGCCCCTTTGTCCAGCTGCTAGTGACGTTACTGAGCCCCTTTGTCCAGCTACAAGTGACGTCACTTTCACCAGCGAGGCTCCCCAAAAGATAACGTCTTAGTGACGTCTCAATATCAGCAGGGTAGACCGTCTTACAAGGTACGTTAGTGATCCCTATAGTTCGCGGCAGTTACTCTAGAAAATAAGCACAAAACCGAGACAATATAAAAAGTGATTCACATTTTTCCTTTCGTGAAAGTAAAATATATATATATATATAAAAACACTACAAAAAGCAGGACAAATAAAAAAAAGTGCAGTATAAGTACATATGAATATTTAACAAAACAATTGTGTAAAAAGTTTCAGCTATCTACATTTCAAGAGAACTGGGTGTACATTCACAACAGAAACTGTACAACTATGTACACCGACCCACCCGTGTCCCCAACCTTATAAGTACCTCAAAATATAGCATATCGGGAATGTGAATCCATTGTTATCCTGAAGCTTACTTAAGAGCTCGTGAAAACTGATGAGGAAATCACTAAAAGGCCGAGAATACTTCTTTTTGCAATGTTGCGACTTTGACTTCCGAGGCGGCGTGTTGACGTCGTGTCCAGGGCGAGGGAGGGGGGGGGAGGAGGGGGTAGAGTTTAAGAACACATATCTCGACATTTTGTAATGAGATTGTACCAGTATGAAGAGGACTGAATGTTAAGGGGGCTTCCTCCTTTGTAACTTGAACCTTACTCACTCACTTCACAGAGAACATTAACCCCTGATTCTTATTCACCTTTCAAGATAATATTAACATGAGTCTTATACTCACCTATCGGAGAATTACTTTCGTCACTATTCCCTCTTTAGAAAAATATAATTTAGGTTATGGTTCTCTCCTTTGGAAATAATGTAAGGAGTAATAACCTCTTAAGTGCATGTTTGTGGAGACTAATATCATGTAGAGCACTTTCCCTTGAAAGTACTAGCATATGCACTCCACAGTAGTTTCATTTACATGTACTAATTTCCCTCTGAAAGCCCTAATACTCCACAGGACTTTCCCTAGAAAGTAGCAGCGAGTCGAAAGTAATTCTCGTGAGGGTGTCGACACAGTCTCACGTGAGTCTAGACAAGTAGAAATATTCTTTAGGAGTAACGATTGTATACGCCATACACGTGCTTCATAAACTGTAAGGAGAACCTCGCCTCTGGACAAAGCAGCACAAACCTACAGATATACATCTTGTTTATTTTCTACCTACAGAGGATTTGCAAGAGCCTCGCCTGTTTCCTGGCAGCCGGAAAGTTTTTTTGAAACAGTTCTCCAGATGGAGAATTACTCCCAATTGTACCTGGACGAAAGAGCACATTCCAATCTGTTCTCGCACTTGCTTTTAGTCAATATTGGCTTATTTAATAAGTGCATATATGACATACTAATTGATTGTGAATATTTTAGTTTACGTTGAAAAGTTTCATAGAAAACACCGACCTCACCTAACCTTCTTAGTATCTTAAGATAAGCATCTTATTGCTTCTTAATTACAATTATTACTTAACCTATACCGTTGATAGGTTAAGTAATAATTGTAAATAAGAAGCAATAAGATGCTTATCTTAACATACTAAGAAGGTTAGATGAGGTCGGTGTTTTCTATGAAGCTTTTCAACGTAAACTAAAATATTCACAATCAATTAGTATGTCAAATATGCACTTATTAAATAAGCCAATATTGACTAAAAGCAAGTGCGAGAACGGATTGCACATTCCTACGACTTGTTGTCGAATCTGGTTTTTGCGTTTACAGGAACAGGTGTGTTGCTCTACCTAGTATCTATATTGATCTAATACCTACACTTAAGAAGTAAGCATGACATCTTATTGACACTATATATAGTTACACATTTGGGGGTGAGGTGATGTCTTTCTGGCTCAGTTCCTTCCAAGAGTTGTACTGAGGTGTACTACCCAAGCCCTGTACATGCCGTCAACACACACACACACACACACACTGTTTGGGTGGATTTCATAATGGAGTTCACAATTTCCCAAGAACGACGGTCGCATGCAAAGCGAATGTACAAAAATGGGTATATTAAATTATGGTTAGGAAATGTCGCATCTCAACCATCGTTCCTCTTATTATATAAATAGTCTGCATTCACTACTATGGACGACATTAATTCATTATGCTTCTCATATTTTTTGTTCCATCTGGTTTGTCCTTGGAGAAAAATATCTTTTTTTTTTGTATTTTAATAAATCTACAGTACGCCACAAAAAGAAAGATGCACATGATGCTGAGAGAAGTTTTAGGCAGCAGGATGGACAACTCTGTAGATTTTTTGTGTTTTGTTTTCTTATGAAGAAACTCAAATGACGTCAGCGGTGGTTGACATCACGGAGGAGGATCGCGGCGGGATCTTTGGTTGGTGGGGGGAGTGTGCGCGGGGCGGCGGCCGCGGTGTCGGGCCGGCCCAGGTTACCACGCCAGGATCTCCGAGTTCTGGTGGTCACTGAACCCGCCGGGACCTGCAGGTGAAACACAACACTACCTCAGTTCACCGCTAACATGACTACGTCTATCTTAAACTATATATACACACACATACAAAGTTAACAATGTTGCAATGTTGACCAGACCACACACTAGAAGGTGAAGGGACGACGACTGATTTGTTGCTGCCGAAGTTAGTTAGTTTAGTTCATTTATTATGGACCCCATACCCATCTTGTGGGCGGGCGGCTAGTTTATTGTGCACCCCATACTCATCCTGTGTGCGGTAGCGCAAAAGCATTACAGAGGGCACAAAAGGTCTTTATCAGACCTCATCTTAGATTATTACATAAACAATTTCATCTATCCTTCACACCTTATAATTACAATGTCAGCTAGTTACAGAGAAAGTGCTATTTCAAGAGCTATATATTTGCAGTAAGTCATCATACAGGGACGACGACGTTTCAGTCCGTCCTGGACCATTCTCAAGTCGATTGAGAATGGTCCAGGACGGACCGAAACGTCGTCGTCCCTTCACCTTCTAGTGTGTGGTCTGGTCAACATACTTTAGCCACGTTATTGTGACTCATCGCTTAACAATGCAATGTTGTTATATATCTCTCATTTTAGTCATTAACAAGATGGTAGAAGAGAATGGCACTTACCACCGTGGAGTGAGCCGTCCTCTGAGGGTGAGGTCATGGGGGGGTGAGGGGGGAAGGCTTCACCCATCATGGTGGCCATGGGGGGCATGCCAGGGAACTCTGCTCCACCCATTGGTCCGCCAGGGGGCAGCGGCTGCTCCATGCCCGGGCCCACTGTAGAGTTAGAGACCATGTTTAGTGCACACATTTTGGTTCATTAAAGTTATGGGACTAAAGGACACACGGACATGGACACACACACACACACACACACACACACATACACACACACACACACACACACACACACCTGGTCCTGAGGTGGGGACCAAAGAGCCAAAGCTCAACCCCCCCAAACACAAATAGCTGAGTAGACACACACACACACACACACATATGTACACCGCCTACGTGAGACCACTTTTAGAGTATGCCGCCACAATATGGCGCCCACATCTAAAGAAACACACAAGGAAACTCGAAAAGGTTCAGTAGTTTGCAACAAAACTCGTTCCAGGAATTGCGAGGGATTGAGTATGAAGAGAGACTGAAGGAACTAAACCCGTCAACGCTAGAACAGAGGAAAGCAAAACGGGGGACATGATAGAGACGTTTAAAATATTTAGGAGGATTGACAAAGTGGAAAAAGAAGAAATGTCCACAATGAACAGCAATAGAACAAGAGGACTCTGATGGAAGCTTGAGACTCAGATGAATCATAGAGAATGTTACAACGTTTTCATTTAGCATAAGAATAGTGGGAAATTGGAATGAACTACAGGAGCAGGTTGTAGAAGCAAAGCTCTTTCGTAAGTTTAAAAGTATATAAATGTGATAGGGAAATAGGGCAAGTCATTGCTTTAGGTAACAGACGGTTAGAAAGGTGGGGTCCAAGAGCTATCAGCTCGATTATGCAGACACATATAGTAGACACAAACACACGCTCGCACAGTAAAACATTGCATAAATGAATGGTTTAAACAAATTTAAGCAAATATGTTTTATATTTACAAAAGCTTGAAATGTATAAGTTCTCTGATCTAAGTGTTCTAAAGTTATACTAGCTTAGCGCTTCATCATTATTACCTTCCCTATGATCATTAATATTAGACTTTCTTTATTATTACAGATTAGAAATGTACGTCGCTATAGCACACACACTCAGGATGTATTCAATACTAAGACAACCCTGAGAACTATGGTATTTCCCTACCACAACGGCATATAATGCCATCCTAATTACATTCCAAACTGGTTAATCAATGATCACATTCTCATAGACTGATCCAAGACAACCTATAGAGCTAGTCATGGAGACATGTGACCTTCTTAGCAACCACAACCATTCATCATTGATGTGATTATCACATCACATTGACGTGAATATCATCAAATAATTCAATATGACCAAATAAGTAGGTAAAACCAACGGGGGTGAGAATAGCTTGAGCTACCTCATCCCTTTGTGTGTATTTATACCTCAATAAACTGATTTGAATTTGAGTAGGCAAAAGTTTAGAGAATTGTCGTGGCCCCGGGAAAGGGGATGTTTACAACCATATGTGAGTAATGTGTACCTTATTGACGCAAATGAAGTACAACCATATGTGTGTAATGTGTACCTTATTGACGCAAGTGAAGTACAACCATATGTGTGTGTAATATGTACCTTATTGACGCAAATGAAGTACAACCATGCGTACGTAATATGTACCATTATTGACGCAAGTAAAGATGCCTCTACTAGCTGTAGGGGCACGACGCTGCCTCTCGGTCCCCTAGCCTCAGAGAGGTCTGGGGACTGGAGAGAACGATTGTTCGTCATCCCTTCCCATCCTTCTTGAGTATTTCCCTCTTTCCCATTTCTTCATTTACCTAACTGAAGACTAAAATTAGAGCTGTACTTGAGCAAGGAGGAGGGTGGGGAGGACACTTACTGTGGGGGTATCCCATGGGCTGCTGAGGACCGAAGTATCCGGGGAACTGTTGACCGGGGAAGCCGTTGTAGCCGGGGAAGAAGCCATAGCCGTCATCCATACCGAGGGGAAGGTCCCGCAGCTTGCGGGGGTTGGCGAAGAGGTGTGCGCGCATCCCCATCGTTGAGAGCTGCTTCATGCGGCGCTCTTTGCTTCGCTTGTTCTGGAACCACACCTGTGAGGACACGGGAGGAGGCTAGGTTAGTGGTCTGAGTTGTTGACTCGTGATGATTGAGTGTCTGGGGCGAGTTGATGGATGTGTGTTTGATGAGTAGTTTTTGATGGTTTGTATTGGCAAATTGTTATAGTCGGGCGTAAATTAATAGGAGTTAGCTCAACCACTTGAATTGGACGGTAGAGCGACGGCCTCAATTCTTGCAGGTCGGCATTCAATCCCCGACCATCCAAGTGGTTGAAGCACCATTCCTATCCTCCGTCCTATCCCAAATCCTTAAGCTCATGTCCCTTCCAAGTAATATATATAGTCTTAGCGCTTTCTCCTGACAGTTGCTTACCTTAATAACAGTTACTGTAAAGATTGCTGACATTGTGAGTCACAAGAACATAATTCAATATTACTAAACGCTTCAAGTTTAACAATTATAAAAACATCAAAGGTTAAGAACTACCAAGTGACGAGCAACAACACTGCAACAACAACAACAACAACAACAGCAACAGTTAGGCATTCGTGTAAGCGCTACGCTTAATAAACTCCAACACATATGACTCGTGTCACGGTCAATACATATGACTCGTGTCACGGTCCATTTGAAAATGTAGTACCCATTTCCTATTATTTTTAGCGTAAAATTTGGTCTATATAGTAGTAGGCCATAATAATGTGTGTGGCTCGTTCCCTAACACAGTCGGCGATAAATGTACACGGTACATTAGGGCTATGGAACACTCACCGGGAAATATTTTCGGTATGAGTCTGGTCCGAATTGCTGGAGGTCAAGTTTCTGTCCCACCCGCCACCCCCTCCCTCCACGGGCGGCCGCCGTCCCTCCATCTGCCGACTGGTCCGTCTGTTCCACCGTCTGGATACTGGTCCGTCTGTTCCACCGTGTGTATACTGGTCCGTCTGTTCCACCGTCTGGACACTGGTCCATCTGTTCCACCGTCCGGACACTGGTCCGTCTGTTCCACCGTCTGGACACTGGTCCGTCTGTTCCACCGTCCGGACACTGGTCCATCTGTTTCACCGTCTGGACACTGGTCCATCTGTTCCACCGTCTGGACACTGGTCCGTCTGTTCCACCGTCTGGACACTGGTCCGTCTGTTCCACCGTGTGTATACTGGTCCGTCTGTTCCACCGTCCGGACACTGGTCCATCTGTTTCACCGTCTGGACACTGGTCCATCTGTTCCACCGTCTGGACACTGGTCCGTCTGTTCCACCGTCCGGACACTGGTCCATCTGTTTCACCGTCTGGACACTGGTCCATCTGTTCCACCGTCTGGACACTGGTCCGTCTGTTCCACCGTCTGGACACTGGTCCGTCTGTTCTGCCGTCTGGACACTGGTCCGTCTGTTCCACCGTCTGGACACTGGTCCGTCTGTTCCACCGTCTGGACACTGGTCCGTCTGTTCTGCCGTCTGGACACTGGTCCGTCTGTTCCACCGTCTGGACACTGGTCCGTCTATTCTGCTGTCTGGACACTGGTCCGTCTGTTCCACCGTCTGGACACTGGTCCGTCTGTTCCACCGTCCGGACACTGGTCCGTCTGTTCCACCGTGTGTATACTGGTCCGTCTGTTCCACCGTCTGGACACTGGACCATCTGTTCCACCGTCCGGACACTGGTCCGTCTTTTCCACCGTCCGGACACTGGTCCGTCTGTTTCACCGTCTGGACACTGGTCCATTCATCTGTTCCATCGTCCAGCATCAAGAGATCCAACTTGTTACTTGTGTGCTCAACTTTACGTTGCAGCGAGTGAGCACTTCCTCACTATTCCAGCATTTTGCTCCCTCGATGAGGAAGTTCGCCCGTGAATGTTGCTGATTTTACGGGGAACTTCAGCCTCGGAAGATGAACAAAATGAGATATCACCAGAAGGGAAACACTCACTTAGAAATTTTGCTCCCGAGTCAGGGAGGAAAGTGACGAGTGTGGAGGAAGACTCTCGTGTCCAGATCCTTGGAAGATCTGCCAACAATGTTTTGAAAGGCATCCGTAAGAAAATTCGCAAACTTCGGTACTAATCTTCCGTTCCCACGTGACAGGAAATATAAAGAGTGGGGAAAAGGAGGCTGAGAAGATAGCTTAGCTGGGAGGGGAAACCCATCATAAGGAGGGGGTATGGGATGGAAGGGAAGGAAGGAAGGAAGGATCCCATGAAGACAACTTCACCTCTCCCACAGAGAAACTCCATGGAAGGACACACTAACATAAGCAGGCAGAGTTGTGCCGGCACTCCGCTCGAGTGCCAACACAAACAAATGCCACTCGACACCGCCTAATTAGGGGTGAAGGGCAATCACTAGGCACCATGGGGGGGAGGGGAGGGGAGGGGGGCGGCTCACGCTTTTATCTGGCCACTCCTCCTCCTCCTCCCCTTCCCTGTGTGACAGGTCAGGTCAGGCAGGGTCACGACAGTGCCAGGGACACGGTAGTCCAGGTGCCAGCGTTCCCAGAGACTGTAATCCTCTCACACAATACACGTATTGATTCTGCTGTGTCGTAGATTTGGTATTTTGTTTCTTCAGACTTTCTACTTAGGATTTATTCTCCAGAGTTTGCACTTAGAATTTATTCTTCAGACTTTCTGCTAGGAATTTATTCTTCAGACTTTCTGCTAGGAATTTATTCCTCAGATTTTGTTAGATTTTTTTTCTTCAGACTTTGTACTTAGAATTTATGTAATGAAACACTTACAAGAACGCAAAGGAAGAATGAAGAGCAAGTTTCAAGTTCTCAGAAAGAAGAAAGTTCAGATTATACATCCGGAAACGAAACTTTGTCGCACAAATGAAGACAAGTTCGAATCCCAACAATGGTGACTCTCCACAGGAGCAGCAGCAGGTGACCACACTACAAGTATCACTCAAACTTCAAAGGAGCAAAATGCGGTAGGCGGAGGATAGTAGAATTCAGAAAAGTGTATGAGGATAACCACAGGAGCGGGTGGATTCACTCAGGGTGAGGTGGGGTCGTCACAGGAGGCGCCGTGACGTCAACCATTGAGGGGGGGGGGAGGTTAAGTCATCTATCTATCCGCATGCAAGAACCCTTCCTTTCCCCCCCCCCCACCCTATTACTCCCCACGAAAGTACACCAGGACACTACTATAGCTGCTCCTGTAAGCTGAGTGGGTCCCCACAGTCCGCCCAGTACACTACACTGAGCGTACATAACCATATACCTTCACGCGCATAACAATATATATATTGCTCAAGTATGTTGCGTTGACATACTGAACGACGAAAGCCACCACAGTGTGCGTGTGCAACAGCAGCAGCAGCAGCAGCAGCAGCACCAGCATCAGCAGCAGCACCAGAAGCAGCAGCAGCACCAGAAGCAGCAGCAGCAGCACCAGAAGCAGCAGCAGCAGCAGCAGCAGCACCAGAAGCAGCAGCAGCAGCAGCAGCAGCAGCAGCAGCAGCAGCACCAGCAACAGCACCAGCAGCAGCAGCACCAGCAACAACAACAACACCCCCCCCCCATAAAGAACAGCAAGAGAACCAACAGCAAGGAGCCCCCGGGGGCTCCCCCAGATCACGAACGCCTCTTGTTTCACCGACTGGTTGGAACCCAATCCCCGGGCCCCGCCTCCCTCGGGGTTCCTCCCCCACCACCTTGACAAGGGGCGGATGGCCGCCGCAGCTGCTGCTCCCAGGTGTGAAGTTAGGGGGTGGGGGGGGGCGAGGAAGGGAAGTGGGGGTTCGGGGGGCAGGTAGGAGAGTAAGGAAGGGGGGGGCCGGGGGGCAGGTAGGAGGGTAAGGGAGGGGTGGAGGGGGTGTTAGGAAGTTAGAAGTGGAAAAGTGTGTCTAAGAAGCCACTTAGAAGTGTGTGTCTAAGTGGCTGATGTGCATAGCTAGCCTCGTGTGGCTGTTGTTGTTATTGTTTTAGATTTAACTATTCAGAAGGAAGTGTCCATGTAGCACGGGCTATGGTGAGCCCGTGTGTGTGTACGTATATGCTGTGATTGGTATGGTGTAGAGGGGTGAGTATGGCTAGTGTGTAGAGGTGAGGGTGTACGGCTGAGGGTATACGGCTGAGGGTGTACGGCTGAGGGTGTACGGCTGAAGGTGTACGACTGAGGGTGTACGATTGAGGGTGTACGGCTGAGGGTGTACGACTGAGGGTGTACGGCTGAGGGTGTACGGCTGAGGGTGTACGGCCGAGGGTGTACGGCTGAGGGTGTACGGCCGAGGGTGTACGGCTGAGGGTGTACGGCTGAGGGTGTACGACTGAGGGTGTACGGCTGAGGGTCTACGGCTGAGTATGTACGACCGAGGGTGTACGACCGAGGGTGTACGGCCGAGGGTGTACGGCCGAGGGTAGAGAGGTCGACAAACCACAACAGGTGACGGGAGGAACACCTTTACATAACCCAACAGCATGGCAGGTGTGGAGGCTGGTGATGATAGAGGAGCCACACACAGGTGGCGGGGCACCGAACGTATTTGAACACCTGTAATTATAAGCGATGCACCATTATGCCCGACGATACAACACACAGCAATCAACCACTTGAAAAGTTACAGAAAAAAAATCTATTTTCCGCCTACGAGAGGCGTACATGTGGCTCCAGGCGGCTGCCACTAGAGGCCTCTAGCACCATGTGAAACCTCCTAGCACTAAATAAAATCAAGCTACTCTGTGTTCCATCTTCCACCAGGCTGTTACCTAGCAGTAAAATAGGTACCTGGGTGTTAGTCAGCTGTCACGGGCTGCTTCCTGGGGGTGGAGGCCTGGTCAAGGACCGGGCCGCGGGGACACTAAAAGCCTCGAAATCATCTCAAGATAACCTCAAGATAGGGTTGACAGAGAGCGGACGCTACATATGCAATAGCATGGATCTCTTATCAATCACAGTTTAAGGTTATAAGGCTTGTCCCAAACGCTATACGTACTAGTGGCTTTAGGTATTGTATGTACTCTATCTTTAAATCTAACATTATGCATGTAACTCAATGCATGTACCTTTACCTGAATAACAAATCTAAATCTAATCTAAATAATTACCCAAGAAAACAATTGACGTGTTGTTTATATATATATATATATATATATATATATATATATATATATATATATATATATATATTAGTATATTTTGGTAGCAGTCTTTCCTGTAGACATATTTTATTAAATATGACCGAAAAAGTAAGATTAATAATTCTAACACGAATTTTCTCAATCTTTCGTACATTATGCTTCACTGTTGGAGGTAAATCAAAAATCACTTCTCCAAAATTCATTTTTATTTCTAGTCTGACGCGACACGGGCGCGTTTCGTAAAACTTATTACATTTTCAAAGACTTCACAAATACACAACTGATTAGAACTTGCGTTTCCCTGATTTTATATCTACA